GTGGGGGTGGTGGAGATGTGTTGGCAGGTTTTGCATTTCTTGTCATGGCACGGTCTGGATCCTTTTGGTGTGTTCTGGGCTTGAGGAAGTTTGCTTCTGGTGATGAGGTTGGCGAGGTTCGGTGCTTGTTTGAAGGCTAGGATGGGTGGCTCTGAGAAGATCTTTTTAAGAATAGGGTCTCTGTCTAGTATGGGTTGCAATTTTTTGAGGATTTTTCGTACAGGTTCAAGGGAGGGGTGATACGTCATAACCAGCAGTATGAGATTTGTGGGGGGTTTTCTTCTGTACTGCAGCAGTTCTTCACGTGGTATCTGGGTGGCTCTTTCAATTCAATTTAATTAAATCATCAGCATTCATGTTTTTCCTGAATCTTCAGTCCCCGGGTTACTAATTTATTTATAGCTAGAAGTGCTACATGAGTGGGGGGAAGCAAAAGGTTCTACAACCAGATTGTATTGAATGCAGAAATACTTGGCCATTCCTAATAAGACTATTATCATCATCCAACAACAGTGTGGCACTAATAATTAGGTGCATATTTTTTATTGCTTCTCCTTAATCTCCAGAGCTGCTCTCTCACTTTCTGGCTATATTTGGTGTATTATGGATGTGTGAATAAGAGACATTTATCTGTCTATCTTGGTAGGTCAGTGTCATCCAGCTTGCATTCAAACTCCCATTTTTAAATCAGAAATACAGCCTAAGATTTCTCCCTTTGGATCCTCTCCATATGGAGTGCAGCTCACATCTGTGTTCAATCAAATCAGTTGCTAAATGTCACAATGCGCTCATTCACAGGTAGCTTAAAAACATTTAGCTGGTAATAAAACAATCTGGGGCTAGAAGAGAATAGCTCTTCAAATATACCGTACTGAAAATCTTTCTGTCAGCAAGCTCATTGAGTACAGGGGGCAGAGGGGTATGCTGACCACTGTGGACATGGGGTGGGGGTGGCGGGGGAGGTGGGGGAGAAGTGTAGGTGAGTGGAAAGGAAGACTTACCTTCTAGGGCTACTGCTGCCACCACTGCAGCAACATCAGCCCCACTCAGGTGGCAACAAC